TTTGACCTTGACCTTGGAGTTTTAACTACTTTTTAAAAATTTTAACCTTGGTCACAACTTTTGAACAGTAGATACTAGGACTTTAATATTTTACATATGTATTCTTTGTGGCAAGTCCTTTCATTGGATATCAACAACTTTGATCTTTTGACCTTGACCTTAAAGATTTATGTACTTATGAAAAAACTTAAACCTTGACCATAAATTTTGAACAGTAAGGGCTAGGGCTTTCATACTTCACATATGTAATCCTTGTGAGAAAACTTTTCATTGGATATCAACAACTTTGACCCTTTGATCTTGACCTTGGAGTTGACCTACTTTTAAAAAACTTTTTACTTTGGCCATAACTTTTTAATGGTCAGGATTAGGGTTTTCATCCTTCAAAAAAATCAACTTCAGTGTTACTTTCTAAATAAATGACATATGATAGGATGTTCGTATTACACACAATATGTCATAAAAATAACATCTCACCCACAAAGACACCGAAAGCGGGGGACCACAATTCTTTGAATTTGCTTGTAAGTCCAATGGTTAAAAAATTCAACGATATTTACGTTTTAGTATTAATTCACAAATTAAGTAAGAGAACTACACTGTTCCCTATGGGTCAAATTGCCTTACACTCAAGCACTACAATATGCCTTTAATTAACAGTGGAATAATTGAACAATGGCATTAAAAGTTACGATAAATCTCAGAAAGATATTTACGTCACCGATATTTACGTTACCCATATTTACGTTACCATGTTTTAAAGTAAATAAGTATTAATTTCCAAAGCTGTTTGAACAGATTTGCGAGTGAATCATACTAAGAACATGAAGAAATATGCACTGTTTCTTAAAATGTCATTTTTTTCTGTAACAAGAGTGCAGAAATGCAAATTGAAGTGCATATGCAAAGGTGAACATTTTTCACTCAATATCTTGTGCATCCGTGTGATTTGAAAATTGAACCGACATAATATTATTCACAAGTAGAATTGTGGTTTAATGATTGAATCTTTCCATTTTGAGCAATTGGTTAATATTGCATATATATAGTTTCAAGTGTAATGCACGTTATCATTCGGAACGTAAATCTGAAACAAAACTTTCTTCAAGTCTGTATTTTGCTGTTTGTTTGAAACGATAGTGTATCGTCAACTTAAAAAAATGGTTATATACACCTGAATTGTATACCAAGCTTAACATTTTGAAGGGAAAAAAAATCATTTTTGTAGGAAATATAATTCCAGAAAATAGACTCTGCGTTGCATGCAAGGGGGGGGGGGGTGTTCTACATCGGGTAAAAAAAGAGGGTGGTGGGTGTAAAGAAACTGGTTGAAATTGAATCCATTTCCATTTTTGTTGCTTTGCAAGAAATACAAATATTAACATGTATAAAATTGTGCACCTAATTTTCCCATTGGAATTGCTTAGACATATAACGTATGCATCTATGCTTTAATGGTACTGAAAATTCAGTTTACGTTATATGAACATAGAATGTATATTGCTCTATAGAGCACATGTGATATGCAACTTAATTATTGACAAACCTTTTAAGGGTGGTGGGCGATCTTTGTTTAATTTGTGAGCTTTGACGATAAAGTTTTCACAAACAATTAAACATTTCAGACACGTAGCAACAGAGGGGGGAGGGGGGGGGGGAGGCAGCCCCCCCCCCCCCCCTTTTTTCTCCAACCTTACTTCAACTATAGTAAATGTTCAGTGAAAGGCTTATTGCCCCCCCCCCCCACCACCACTTATAGTGATGTACGGAAAATGTAGTGTAATAATTGGTACTGAAAGTAGTTGGCATTGAAAAAAGTTCGCCTCCCCTCCCCCTCTAGGATTTTCGACTTTGTGCAAGTTTTCTCACCCCCCTTTTTTTTTGCCTTGTCAACTTTTCAGGTAAGTAAAAAAATTCTCTGGCTGCCCCCCCCCCCCACTTTAAAAAACGATGCTACGTGGCTGCCTTTGAAATAATCAACAGATTAAATGGTGGAAGGGGGGGGGGTATGAATTACATGAGTCCTCTATAGATAAATCATAACTTGAATTTTCAATTCAACCCTTTGTAAAGAGCGTATATATAGGTAAGAAAATTCATAAAATTCAATAATTTGAAATAATATAATCATTTTTTACCCGAATATACTTTTATTTTTGTATGATATCTATGTGCGATATTTACGTGATATTTAACAAACACTTCGTAATCAGGTAATGGCGAAATATTTAACCTTTTTATATTCTAAATAATGTGCGTTTCTCTGAGCAGATTAATAAAGAATCAATTAATGTAGCATTTTAGGGAATATTGTCATTATTAAGCTTATCATCGGATGTGATAAAACTTGCTAAAAGAAAAAGAAAATAATTTCATTTAAATGAAAATTACATCCGTTTTCTTTTTACTAATAATTGAATCAAAGATTCTACACCCCTTTTACAAATGTGCTTAAACGGTTTCATAAATGTTTATAGTTAACAAAATTTGATGTGTATTATATTGATTTTGTATTTTAAAAAAAAAATTCTTTCGTTTCCAAATATGGCTTTTCAACATCACGTAAATATCTTGGTTAAAAATTTGCCCTCCAACCGCTTTTATTTCGAAGGAGGCCAACAAAACAAAGCATGAAGTATGTAAATCAAATTGCGATTTTTAATAACTAGATACACTTTCATGTTTCAAATGACGTATAAAAGTGTTAATTTCAGTTCACTAAATTTTCTTTTCCCAAGATCGAATTGGTACTATAAATTGAGAATGCGTGTTGTACATTATTTATTGGTCTCCAGATTGAAACCGTGGAAGTATTCCGAAGTAATTGGTCATTTCGAAGTGTTAATTCTTTGTATCTGTAAATACATTGATTCGGAATTACAAATCCGACAAACATAATTGTTTCGACTAAAAATGAAAACATTAAATGTATGTATTACAGTAGTAGTATCTTTATTGGCGTATACATTGCATATATTGCCACATATAACATGTATAACATTACTTTATATATATACATTGGTAAACAGGTGTTACACAGGTGCTATTACAAATATGTAGAAAACAAAGAAAAAATGAGTATCAATGCAGGTGTCCTTTGTATTATTAATGCTGCTGAATGGTAGCGTTTTCCCTTTTTTTTAAACATTCAAACAATTACAATATCTTTACATATTTCGGAATTTAACATATAAAAAGGAAGGAGACAAACAGTGTTATAAATGTGTATGGATTCTAATCACATTTCTTAATTATGTGATTAGAAATTAAACATATCTAGATTTAACAGATTAAAACAAGTGTATACCTGCAGAAAAAAACTATAAACACTTGTAAATTTTGGCACAAAGAGCATTCTGGATACACATAATATTATTGTTACAGTGTAAAATTTAAAATTATTTATTATATGGCCTCTGAATGTTTGGATATATAGATACTTTACAATTGTGTGATGTTCTTAATTTACACAAATTTAATTTGATCTCTATAACTTCAATCAGAATCAGCATGCCATATTTCATATTTATAACGCAGAGATGGTCAACAAAAAACTATATGTATCTTCAAAATTATATACAATATTTTAATTTTTTTAATGAACAATCTGGCAATTTTATTTATAAAACTCCCTGAAACTTTTTTTATATACTTTATTTAAGATATTTAAATCAAAATTATATGTTTTATAAAATTATGTTTATTTTTATATAAAATATAAGGATTAATAAATTATTACAGTTTCAATCGGTTGCAGAGTTTTCCATATGTCAGTCACCAAACTTGATTAACTTTCAGCATTTAGTCTTAAAGCACTGCATAGCATCACGTGATATGGTATCCCATCAGTACCTGCCGAAAAGTGATCCATTTCAAATGCACAAGGATAATTTAAGGTAATCGTGTATAAAACTGTCGAACATTGTCGAATTAAGGGTAACCCAATACACTTCATAAGAATACGTTTCTTAGTGCATGGTGTTGATCATGGAACAACAATTTGCACTTGAAGATGGTCAACGCCAGGTACTTGATACATGTTTTCCGTTCGATCTGGTCTGCGCATAACCTGTAGGAAAGAAGGTCAGATTCCATTGAAAGTACCGTACGCTGTCCACTGAAGTTGACATCAATTTTTCAAGGTGTATTGAAACTATAATGATATTAAAATAGTTATTTTTAATGAAATTCAATATAAACGCCTCTCCCCAAGTCTACGAACGACCCCCAAGCCACTGCATGTTTACATAGTTTATCATGGTTTATATGCCTTTAATATATTGCAGTAAAAAGATGACTTTCAAATGATTATCAATTTAATATTTCTTCTCATGGTTATCCGTTGTGTTGTCAGTAACTTTCCTTGATACGTAACATAAGCTTTTTGTGATTTGCTTTGTTTCGATAGCCGCTAAAATTAACGCTCCAATATACGAGTATTTGTGTCATTTCCTGGAAGATAACTCTGCACTTGACAGCAGAACGTGTTTAATTTCTAAACACGTTTAGATATAAAACATGTTTTAGACATAAGTATTTAGTTGTTAAACATATTTCTATACATGTTTAGATCTTAACACGTCATGGGTGTATCCTAAACACATTTTTACAGTTAATTCTAGCTTAACTACAAACTATCACAATTTTACCATTGTTCTGATTTTTACATCCAATAAGGGGCCGGATTTGGCCGTTACCCTATCTTGTCCATTCCTTGCGTGTAATACTTTAATTCCCCCGCTTTAGGAATGGTAACCGATTAATAGAAAATATCAAATACTAAAATCCATATCATACACGTCATATATATTTACATGTATATCAACCCCAGTGGCCCCATATCAGCCTGTTCACATAAAGTCAAGGAAGGAAGTTTCTAGCATGTTTACGACTTTTTTATATGCCTGAAAAGTATACTGTAAGACAGTATCTCTATAATTGAATTAGTGCACTTATATTTCTCCATACATTTTACGATAGTTTATTGACCTACATACCGACCCAGCTGGTCGATTTCTGAAAAGTGAAACGAGGGAGTAATGTGATGCTTAACTTGTGTCTTAACGTGTAAGTATTTGAAATTTGCAGATATTTAATTAATTGTATCGTAATTCAATATTTATGAAGTTGATTACACAATGTACATGCTAAAATTTACCCTAAATTACATATTTAATAGAGTCCTGAAGTGTTTGTAAAGTTCTGTTACTCGCCATGTTTGATTGTTGTAAAGATCTCTAAAACGAAACAAGAACATATACCTCATGTATCTCATACATGCTCATCGGGGTATCGTGTAAATCTGGAATAGAGAAATACATTACTGTACACGACAAAATAACTCAGATTTATGACTAATTGCTAGTGGTAAATGAGCCTATTATTTAAGAAAAATTTCCCTTTTTAACTTTTTAATCAAGGACACTCTCTGCATTAGAGGGAAAGGTTTATTTGAATATTGATAAAATTATAGTGTGAAAAGGTGTCAAATGAATATTGAACTTTATCCTTCACATTTTAAAGATAGGGCACCTTGTATTTAACCCCAGGTAAAATATTCAACCACAATGAAGTGCTGGTGAACAAAAACATCACTATTGTTTACTAAACTAGGCTAAATCATAGTGACCTTGAAAATGTTTTCATTCTATTCGTAATGGTCTATTAAAATGTTGTGAGTGCCTGCTTTGATTACAATTTAAGTAAGAAAAAACAATTTATCTTATTTTTGATCAAACGGCAGATTTCTCTATTTGCATAAACATAATAAAATACCAAAATCAGACCTTTTTAGGGGGCTCTTAACTTCCGGATAAAAACATGATTGTGGCGTAAATCTTTTGTTTGTGTTGTCCATTTTGTAGCTTAGTGTTTAGCTATTAACATTTTTAATATTGCGAGCCTTCACGAGCTTATTCATAATTATAAGCCTATATGAGCTTTATATTCATTGTTCACACCAATCGAGTTGCGGTCCTACTGAACAGAGAACCCTAGAGAACTATATTAAAGAAAGCCTAACTTAGATAAGTCTATTTACATGTATATTTGGTTAATTCAAGTAAATATTCTACATAATATAGATTACATTCACCTTAGTATGAATAAAATTAATAATTTTTTTTTATCTTAGGAATGTTTTCCCACTAAAAAAGATTAAAAAGTCCTGAAAAAGGACAACAAAACTAGACGGTTAAATATTTTCATATATATCCATCCCCATTGAATTATCTTAACATCGTTATCAGAATCAATATTTTCTCACATTAATTATTTCATAGATTTTTTTTTTTCATTTTATGTTAAAAATTATTTAGAATTCATAATTATTCACTTGATCTTACCCATTTTTAGCATTTTGAAAACAAAAAGTATTATAATTATCCTGAAGACATTTTAAGTATTTTGTCAATTAAATGATTGCAAATTATATTTGTAAAATATAATTTTGTGTTAGTTTGATATATTCATTAAACAAAAATAAACCCATGAAAAAAAAAAAATAAATAATGAAAAACATAAGGGTTTTCTAAGATTCTCTAGAGTTCTCTGGGGTTCTGTACCTTTCATGAGGGCCTTTATATATATTATGCATTACACATGTCACAGTTGAAAATCTTCTTCAGCACCGAATGTACCAGTTGGGTCAGATTTCATATTAATCAGTCTAATAAAAGGGAAATTTTCATCATGTTTATGTTATGTTTACACTATTGAAATTTTAAATTGCAGAAACAAACTGTTTTCTCTCTATAACAATGGGTTTGGTGTATTAAATGATGGGGGGAAGTGAAGGAAAACCTGTACAGTCAGAGGAAAGTGAGACTCAGAAACAGGATGACAGCTCAGGGTAAGTTACTGACGAAGTTATAGTTGTGGAACATTACATGTAATAATTTGCATTGTGACCTGGTAATTTTAATGGTATTATCTATTTGAAAATATCAAAATTTTACAAAAACTAGTGAATATTATTTTGGCAATTTCCTTCTAAAATCCTTGCATAAAAAAGATGATACTTGGGTGAATTTCAAAGTCTTCAGAAACAGTATTGCCATGATAACTGAATTCAAGTTTATTCATATCACAGCTCCATGAAAGGGTGGGTCAACTATAGGGAATCAAAGCGTAAAATATGGGAAATTCATACAAAGGAGAGAACAGCAGGTCATAGCAAGTGATGTATTAATAACCATTCATCGTGGAGTAGATGCTAAATCTTCTCAAGACTGAAAGGCCCATGATAAATAGATATCAGCATGTGATATAAATCCCCAAGTGCAGACTCAATTTTGCTGAAAAATATCTTCAAGGGAAGTCGGGACCCCCGTAGAATATCAAAGGGTAATACGGGGTTAATATATAAAACAGTGAAAAACTTTATTCCAAAATCTTCATTTGAAAAAAAAAACCAGGGCCATGATAGGTGATATAGCATGTAAGATGCAAGAATATTAGACACTTCAATATTTAAGTTTGTTCAAATCACAGTTCCAAAAAAAGAATAGTGCCTTATAAGAGGATTAATTTTTTTCATGTGAATATATAGGAGAAATTGTTTTAGATATGCTGTCTCACTGTTTGATTTTTGACTGCAGAGAGATGGTCTGCACACCACCAACGTCTGAAAGAGGAACTGTGTATCACCGTGAGGAAGGTACAGAAGAAGTTATCCAGAACCAGCCATCCCTATCACTTTCTGTCCAGTTTACCAGCACACAGATCTCCACCACTCAGTATGTACATGCGTACTAAATTTCAGATCTAAATCAGCAGCTAGGGTTATTTTACCTCTGTATATACAAGTATTGTTTAATCAGTATATTCTGTAGTGTATTATAATCCTGTGAATTTGCCTTTTTGCAACATTGTACCATGTATTTCTGGTCTGTGTTTTAATAAATAAGCTAATATATGTTCATTCATATTTGATTTTGTCATTTGAATAATATGATTACTATGTTAAGAGGGTAAATTAAGAATACCATTTTGAAGCAATTGGGCAAAAACTCCTAAGAGATGAGTTGCCAGGGACTTTGAAGCGGACTGCTTTCAAACAGTTTTAATGGCATTTTTAGAATCAAAAATGTAAATTAATTAAACCAGTGAAATAAATATTAAGGATATCCGATCATCAGCCAGGAAGGATAACTCCAAAAATTAATATTTAATTTGAAAAGCATCAAAATGAAGCTTGAAAATGAAATTTTTTCATGCAAAATTTTCATTTTATTCATCTTTATAAGATTCAAGGTTTTCGGAAGTCTTAGAAAAGGTGTTATAAAAGTTGATATTTGTACCCTATAAAAGGAAAAAAATTTAATACAGTTTTAGAAAAATAAGATTTTCTTGATTCCAGCCTTAGATACCAATGCATATTAGCATGATATGAATTAAGATGTGATTTGTGGTGTCTTGCAATGATAGCAAAAACCCTTTATGTTATGTATTATAGTATACATGACGGAAATAGAGAACAAAAAATACCACATAAGTATACAAATCATGACAATTTCTCTGAATTCCTGGATACCTATCATTTTTAACCTAAAATATATTTGTTGATCAATTTGCAATTAGAAAATGCATTCCTGATATTCCAATTCGCTTTTTTTGCAAAAATATTGGAGATTTGACAATTTTCCCTATATAATATGGTTAACTTTAATCTTCAACTTTAAAGAAATACTGTGGATAAATTTACATAATTTTGTGGATTCAGAGATACTTTTATGAGTATTTTTTATTGCTTAACTGCTGATTTTATAAACCTGAGGATCGGGCTACCTTAAGAATTTGAAAGAACAAAAAAATTAAATAAATAAAAAATAAATTTTGTTATGGACAGGTAATTGTTTCATATGATGCAATATGCAGTCTTGAAATTGATTATTTCAAATGAGCAACTGAAACTTTTCTTTACAGGCTACTTACACGTCAACAATCAGTAAATGCACAAGCAGCTGTAGGTTGCAGTTTAAAGGATGTGCGTTATGAACCGACCACGGAAACCATAAACTTTTACTTGCTAGCACGTCTTCTGCTGGATGTTTGCAGTGATGCTATGAGGGACCTGCTGCGATGTAAGATTAGTGGAGGTGAAGGGATGCTTACCAAAGAAATTTACCAAAACAGAGACAAATTGAATCATCTTAGCATCAGCCAGAAAAATATAATCATGCCTCCAAACAACCAGCTTGTGCAATATGATTCTCTTGACTTCACTTTATTGTACACAATTTTTCGGAATGTGTGTCCTAAGAAGATAGAGGCTGATGTAAAAAAACAGAAAAAGTGGGGTAAACCTCCAGAAGATGGTGATATGAGCCTTATCACTGCACTTGAAAGAATCCGGGTGTGTAGAAATAGTTGTTTTGCACATGCTACTTCTGCAACGGTAGAGGATACAGAATTTAAGAAGATATGGAACCAAGTTGAAAAATCACTGCAGAGAATAGAAGAAAATTTAGATCCAGCAGTTGCCTCTATATGCTATTTAGACCAAATGAAGAAACTAGAAGAAAATCCTATTTTAGATCCCAAGACTAAACCCCTTTTGCAGCAGTTGGCTGAAAAAGAGAAACAGTTGATGGAAAGTCATAAAATGTCAGGTTCGCTCTTTGCTTATCTTATTCTTCAACATTCACAAAGAACCATATACATGTAAATTGTGTTATGCATGTTTATTTATTTTGATAGAAATATAGATTAATCCAGTAGTTAACTTGTGGAATGACTACTCAAATAAGCTATATTAATGGTTATAATAAAATTATTTTCTGTTATTTTCCATTTTTTGCAGCAGAGACTGATCGCCTTCTTGGAGAATTAATTGGCATTAGAGAGAAGTACAAGAAGAATATTCCTGGTAAACCACATTAAATAAATTTATAATATCTCATCAGTTTAAGTACATTTATCAAACTTAAAATTGCGCATGGGAAAACTTACTGATCTGCAGTAGATGAAAAAAACTTTTGCCTATACTATGAACCAAATGTTCTGCAACCTACTTTTGATTTAATCATGAGGATTTCAATGAAATGTTAAACTTTGTTTAAGGACATCTTTTAAATTTTTTTTTTAGATTTCAAATCACAGCTGTCAGTACATTCCTACAGAATTAAGGATGCAAATATTGGTAAGGCTGTAACTTTGATTCCTTTCATTATAACTTTGTGTATATTTTTCACTCTTGATTTCAAGAAAGTACCCATATATCCGGGGGTTTATTTTGCCTGTTGGAAATTTTGTGGAAAAAGGGTAAATTAGTACAGTTTATTTTTTGCGTAAGTTATTTTTTACGATTGGAAATTTTTTTTTTTTAAAATGGTAATGTTTTTATGTCACATTAAAGCTGACATAATTTCTGCGTGTTTTATATTTTGCAAATTAAAAATGATTGCAAAAAATGCTAAAAATAGATCATTGTGATAAAAACCGGATATATACCGGTGTTGTAGAGTAGGATTTTCCCCGGAAATCGTAATCTAGAGTAGGATTTCCCCCCGAGGAAGTGCGCAGAGACATGATATAAAAAAAGTTATTTGCAAAATAGTTTAGCTAAGTAGCTAATCCTTGTTTTACCTCTATTATCTATCTTTTGTTTCGATTTACTTCTAAAGCATTTTAGTAATTTCCACTTCACTATTAATTTCAATTCATTTGGGCTTTAAGTTTAATATTAACTAATATTGCCTTATGTGTTTATTGCGTGTCTGTGTGACGGTAATTTTTTTTAGAAACATCTTGTTATCACATTTTGTTTAATTTCAGTTGAGTTTACATTGGAATACATATTTTTGTTAATATATGTTTTTGATATCCCCAAACAACCCTGTCATGTTTTTGTAATAGATTTTTTTCTAAATGCTGTGCCTACTACAGTTTTGTCTAAATTCAAGATTTTTTTCCACAATGGCACTCCTACAGTTTTGGTCTGATTTCTATGTATAGATGTAGACAATATTTGCTGAATCAATTTGAAATTACCAATAAGTCTCTGTAAAATTCTTTCAAAGGTCTAAATTTCCAACAGTTTTAGTTTTATTTTACTAGGACTTGATCAGGGAACATGAATTTTAAAACTGTAATTTCATAATTTCAAGCCCAAGTGCTACGTTTTATACTAACTTTGTTTTGAAGAACAAATCAGTTGAGCTAGTCTCATCAAAGACCTTTGCTTTAGATTTTAGCGAATTTACTAAGCTGTGTTTATATCTTGTGGGTTTTTTTATGTTGCAGGTCAGACAGAACATTATTTGAGAGAATGTAAGATGGAAAACAAATTTTATGTGAAAACAAATGTATTCTATGAGACGGAAAAGTTTCTGAAAAAATATAACTGTGTCATAATTGTTGGAAAGCCAGGATCAGGGAAAACAGGGATTGCAAAGCAATTAATGTTCAAGTATTCCGATGAATTTGTTGTTCGCATATTAGACAGTCCTTCCGAGTTTCAGTTAATCGACCCTACAATGAAATCTTTAATTTTCATTGATAACATATTTGATTGCACTGATGACACTTTGAAAGCTTGGTGGAAAAGGTTTGATAAAATAGAAGATTTTGTGTGTTCGAAGTGTGTTAACCAAAATGTTTTTAAGAATGATAATGCCGTGGAGGAAACTGAAGGAGAGGTTCCAGAATTCATTACATACGTAGTTATCACCACTAGACCACATTTGCTTGAGGCAGCCAAAGAGAGGATGGATAAAACTCACTCTTTATTGGAAAAATATGCTTTAGATATTGATTCAGAAAATTTTAGCTTGAGTGCAAGGGAAAAGCGAGATATATTGGAAGCTAAACTCAGGTATGCAAGCCAAGAACAAAATATAAAAGAAGAAAATTTCTCAAAGGAAGATTGGACAAGTATTTTTCAATCCTGTCCTCCGTTTGGGTTTCCATTATGTGCCCATTTATTTGCATGCGACGAAAGATACAGGAAAGATGGAACAAAGTTTTTCTCCAATCCTCATCAGTATATGCTTGATGGACTGAAGGAAATGCTTAAAATGCAGTATTCAAGACGCAAAGAGGCACTTTTTATTCTTATGCTGGTTTGTGATATAAAGGATAGAAGTCTGGAATATGACAACGAGGGTGAATGCTGGAAAGTACTTACCGATTTGGGGCTTACAGATTTGAAAGAATTATCTTTAGAAAAGAACAAAGACGTTAAAGATCTGCCACAAGCTGCAACAGAACTTGAAGAGAAATATTTGAGAAAATGCAGTAAACAAGGATATAAATTTATTCACCCAAGTGTTCGAGAAGCTGTAGAAACGTACTTTATTGAAAAATACACACAAAAGGCTATCGAAATACTCCCTATGCGTGTTCTGTCTAGTAAGATGTTTTCAGAATGTTCCTCTGATGAATATGCGCCTTTGATGAACCTACATTCCACAAAAGAAAGATTAGCTAAACGACTAATACTAGAAATTAATGAGGGGAATATTTGTGAAGTTTGCAAATTCCCTGGAATAAAAAACAAGAACTTTTCAGGTGTATTTCTGAGTGAAATTACCCGGAATGCAGAAACTGTAAAAAATGTTATGAGCATTAAAGATAATTGTGGATTTCCTTTCATGTATTGGTTCACTTTATGTGCACATCTTGACACAGTTCTTCGGCTTTTGAGAAATGAAACAGTCGAGAAAGTATTAACCGAATCAGAACTTTTAATGCAGTATGGATACTCTCTAATTGCCTCTTGTATCTCAGAAGAAAAGATTGAAATTACTGATTTCATTTTAGAGAAGTATTCAGGCAAGGATATCCAAAATTTCTATGGAGATGAGAACCGCTCATCAGGAGTACAGTTTAACCAGAGTTACGTATATCCTCTTTCAGAAGCGCTAAGGACAAGAAATGAAAAAGCTATACAGCTTTTGTTGAAGAAAAAAGCGTGTTTTCCATCCTCAACATGGAAAGGATGGCCTTTTCTACATGCATGTTACAATGAACCAACAATTTGTTGCTCAGAATTCCTTGAGGCTGTTCTTTCTTTTGACAGAAACGAAAGTGTATTTGAAAGTAATGAAGAAAAAGATGTCTTGAAGTATGATCAAATTAGAGCAACAGAGGAGACATTTCTCGAAAGTATAGTGTCAAAAATTGAGAAGTCCATACGCCTGAATAAGGAATCTTGCAAGATGATTTTATTTTATTTAATTCAAATTTCTAATTTGGAAATATCAGATGGTATTATACATGCTTTTTGTTCAATACCTGAAATCAAACAACGCTCTGAGGTGGAACGAATAAATCCACTAAACTTTGTTGATGACAATGGAAATTCCATTCTTCATCTTCTTTTGAATTACCAAAGGAATCAACCAACTATGGGGGCGAACTATGACGATATTGCCCAACCTGAGGATGATATAGTAGAAGGAGATAAAGATGAAAATCTACCCATGCTTCCAGAGGAAGTAACTGATGATTATCAACTTGATATTGTCTTTGCGAGAATGGAAGAGAAAAGCGTTCATTTACGGACAATACGGAGATTTTACAAAAAAGGTGCAGATCTTAATATGAAAAATAAGATGGGAGAGACACCACTGATGATTGAAATTAGCAAATTTTGTCCATCAATAGATGTTGTTAAAAGCTTATTACATTATCAAGCAAATCCTAACGTTCAGGATAATTGTGGAAGATCCTGTTTACACAAGCTTCTTCTCCAAAATTATAAGAAAAATATACCAATAGAGAAATTTCTAGCTCTTTTAATAAAATCAGGGGCAGACCTTAACATGGTTGACAAATTTGGCAATAGTCCTATTTTGACAGAGTTGAAAAGACAGAGACCAAGGAGTGGTATTTTGAATCAGCTAATAGATGCACAAATAGACATGAGAATAGCAGACAGTAATGGAAAAACGGCACTTAGTGTTGCATTAGCAGCCTCCTACGAGACTGACATAATGAAGAAAGAAATAGTTAAAATCCTTTTAAAATCGAAATCTGTGGACGCTCTTTCCCGTGATAAAACTGGGATTTCTGCTTTTAGATTTGCTTTGGGGAACCCGAATATCGAAGAAGATATTTTAATACAGATTGCTCTCCACGACTCTTGTCGTTTTCCTCTCCATGAATGCATAAAAGAAAATGTCGAGGAAACCATTAAAATTCAAGGCATAACACACCTGCTTTCGACTGGTAATGATAAGCTGCAAATTTCTGCAAAAGATCCGGAGGATCAGACCCTTTTGATTACTGCTGCTCAGGCTTGTCCACATATGCACAGACTTCTTGAATTTTTGTTGTCGAAGGATGTACCTATAAATGCAAAAGACTCTTCTGGGAAAAGTGCTTTGTTTTACATGATGGAATCTGATGTTGAATTTAGTGCACGTGAGACTTCATTCAACTTGCTTTTGGCAAAAAGGCCTTCAGTTAATGATGAAATAGGAAACATTGAATCACATTCACCATTATTGAAAGCAATGCAGTCTATGGTATGTAGATCATTTCTGTTTGACCCACTGGAATTTCCATCGGAAGCAGTGGCAAACAAAGTTGCAATAGCGGAGTCTCCAAAGAAGCATATATCAAGAATAGGTCTTTTTCCTGATAGAATGTCGGATCTGAAAATTGAAATTGTCCAGAAAATGCTAGATATTTGTACTGCTGACCTTAACTTCTCAGTGGATGAAAAGGAACGTACATATCTTCATTACTGTGCGAGCTCTCGTTTAGCAGATAAACAAACACTTGCAATCTGCAAACGCCTTGTTGAACTTGGTGTTGATGTTGATCAAAAAGATAAAGATGGACTCACCTGCATCGATATGGCATTTAAATTCTATGAAAAGAAATTTGACACTCTTGTTTTCTTAATTGAGAAAAGTACAAATGTACAGGGTTTGGACATCGATAAATTATTGGAATATTTGGCAGATAACACTGATTTGTATGAGAAATTGGTTCAGTATCTGACAGAGAGCATGTTTGAATTAAATAAGCCAAAACGAAACTTGTTTCATTATTTGGCTTTAATTGGTTATTATGCCAAAGACCAAGCAAAAGCGGAGCGCGAAGCCGTGTTTGATAAACTTCAAAAATACTTTCCAGCACATGAGAAGAATGAAGACGGTCATATCCCGTTGCATACTGCAATTGAAAGTAATACAAGTGTGTCCTGTATTCGAAGCTTTGTGCGGATAAGTACATCGTATCTTGACGAGCGGGACCTTGAGGGAAACACAGCTTTACATTTGGTATTGAAGTCGAACAGAGAGGATGTTGACGTACTTACAATAGTGAAAAAGATGCTTAAGTTTAAAGTTGATATCAATGCTCAAAACGACTTGGGTAGAACACCTCTAATGATAGCTGTAAGATGCGAGAAGGATAGGACAAATACAATAAAAGAACTTCTCAATCACAAAGAACGACTAAATTTGCTTTTGCTTGATCGCACAAGATTTTCAGTTCTTCACCATTGCATTGACACATCAAAGGATGATTTCACAGCCCATTGTATTCTGTCTATTTTTCTAGACTCAGGTCTGTCTCTTCCAATAAAAGCAAAAACAATCAAAGGATATACCGCCCTCAATTATGCCGCAAAATATGCCCGTTTCAGTCGCATATTGTGTATAATAAAGATGCTTCAGACCAAAGGTTGCACGATTGAAACTGTTGATGAAAAAGGACAATCACCACTTTATAATTCAGCGATTAATCTCAAAGGAGTTAATCCTTTAATTGTTTTGGAAAGATTACTGCGTGCATATATATTTTTGATTCATGGTGATTCGGATATGGAGACAAACAACGGAGACAAAGTATCTTCTGTTTGTGAAAAGTTCGAATACGGTTCTCTTAAAGAACTGATAGACATTGAGGACATCGATGGCATAGATTCAGATGCAGCATATGATATTATAAAACGAGTCTGGATTACTGTTTCAAGTGGACATTTTCCCAGGAACCACTATGAACATATTTTTGGATTCAAGGATGAAAAAATTAAGTCATTAATTTTGGATTCGCTGCCTTTTTTGTCTCATCGTAGGTTAGACAATTTAAAAAATGAGGAACCTTTGGTGGATGATACCTGTCTCTCAAGTGTACCGGACCTTGAACGTGACCCAGTATCAGCAATGATGGAGTGACTTACTCAGTACATGTATATGTTAAAGACTTGCTGATCCAGAGAACATTATGTGCAATATATAAGTCAAGCAATAGAATGTAAAACAACATCGACATTGAATTCATAAAATAGTATGTTTGTATGTACATTTATTTTACACTTGTTCTATTGAAAGTTTGTTTATATGTACATTCGTTTTATACTTGTTTTGAAGCTTTACTGAAAGGCAGCCAATTGTAGATTCCTCCAAGAAAGTTGATCCCACCTCTTTAATTTCCAGGGGTCCATGTTTTATGACGCATGATTTATATTATATTTTTTTTCTCATGTTTGTAGGTTTTTGTTTAAATCGATCACCATTTGTTATCTTCATCTTTTTACATTTATGAAATCATTACATTTTGAGACAATCTTTATGTTCATTGTGGGATGTTAGAATTTTATCGTTCATGTTATTTTAAGGGTACCTGTCAAGCACTGCCAACCAAGAAAGAGAAATGCAGTTTATAAAATACCCATGAGTTGCAAATATATAATTTATTTAAAGATATTCCGACGTAAATGTTTGATTAAGCTGTCTGAGGAAAATTGACATCCTTATACAATTGTACAAAAGTTATAATAGTTTATTATATATATATATATTAAATATATTTTTTGAAAATTTTTCTAATGTTGAAGTATTGTTTTTATTTATAACGCTATAATGAACTTAAAGGTAAATAATTGAAAAAAGTTGCAGCAAGGAAAACTTACTTTGCTATGAAATGAACCTACCAATGTTTTGACCACTGAATTTATGAAAATACATATTTTCTAAAAGTTTTAAATAACAATCCTATTACACGTTTTAATTATCCTTCTTTTTTAATATAAGAGGTCCATTTGTTAAGAAGGATGCTACCAAAAGAGACACAAGCTACAGTATGACAATGTTTGCGATATAATTTTTGCCCGTAATAATAAAAACCAAAAAATTATACTGTTATTTGATATTTTTAAATTTATCTTGGTAAATAGGCCAACCTTTAATTCTTTCCTTTATTGAGGATAATATTGTCTGAGAAAACAAATTTCCATATCAATTTTTACCTTCACTTTTCACTCGCAAATGATTTATAACTTATACATAAAACTATGTTCTTTCAAATTGTTAACTTGTAAGTAAACATTTGAAAAATGACATATAAAATAATGGAACTTTTTAACTCGTTGTTTCTTTTTGATTAAGATAAGTTTGTCAGGAATATATACCAAGAGAAAAACATAATAATAATTTCATACAGGAAGATATGGTCATAATGCACATGCATGCACGTGCATGCGCGTGCAATGCATAAATTACAAATGTATTTGATTTAGCGTATTTTTAATACTTTTTGATTA